GTGTTGGGTGACCATTTTGTAAATTAATATTAAAAACTAAAAGCTGCAAAAAATATATTTTCAAACTATTTATTGGAGGAGAGACGAAACATTTCATTAGAGAAGAACCCGTCCAGAAGACCTATACAATTTTTTTAAAGACAACAGATGTTTATTTGTCCCACTTCAGATCTCTGCACTGTCCCTTTAAATAATTCAGAGTTTCAGTGAAACATTTAAAAAGTCATCCGAGGACCTGAATGAAACCGAGCCACTTCCCTTAAAGCCAAACCAAACATGAAGGCGACTTCACGATGCAGAACTCCACTCTGCTCTCAGCTATTATTCACATCTGGTTTATTTAACTCAAACTTTTTTATTTATTTATTTATTTATTTTTTGTGGTCATAGCTCTTTGGTTCCAACAGGTTTATCTCCTCCATCGTCGACAGGCACGTAGCGGCCATCTTGGGAACGAAGCGAAAGCGTGACGGCCTGAATCTGGACAAACGTCCTGCAGGTTGAAGTCTTTCTAAAGAAATGAGCAAATGTGCCAAAAACATTGTAACAATATGAGCTGAGAAAAAGCTGCCTCTGTGTTGATGTGTGCAATTGTGGAGGAAGTGTTAACAAAACCTAAATCAACAGAAATGTTAAAGGTGCTGCAGGTGGCTCAGTTGGGTCAACATGCTAACGTCGTCCAGGGGGTTTCACCAAAACCCTGTCATCATCAAATCATTTCGGTTTTTCCACCGACAGTTCAACACTCCGCACTGACCACAAAGCTACTTAAGTAATTATAAATGTAGCTTACTAGAAGCTAAAAATAGCTTAAGCCTAGCTAAAATCAGCAAAAAGCACAAGATTAGCAAAAAAAAACAAACAAAACAAAAGTAATAGTTTATTGAAAGCAGCAAAACACTAAAAGTTGCTAGCCAATAGTAAAGTACTGAAACACCACCTAAAATAAATAAAGGCTAGCTAAAAGCAGCAAACTTTAGCTAACAGTAACAAAATCCTAGCTTAAAATAAAAGATGGTTCACTAAAAGCAACAAAACACTGCATTAAAGTAAATATAGCAAAAGTTAGATGAAAGCTAGCAGTAAGAAAAGGCTAACTAGACGCGAAGTGTTCACAAAATGCTAGCTTAAAGTAAAAGGAGGTTAATGAAAGAGCATAAACTAAAAATAGCTGGTCAAATACTAAAAGTATTAAAAAGAAGGTTAACTAAAAGCAACAATGCAAACTAAAAGTGGCTAATAAAACACTTT